ATCTTATTATTGAGCCTGAGATTTGGAAACTCTTCACTCCTATCAGTTACCGACATCTCTGAAGACCGTGCAATATCGTTCACTGTGGGCTACAAATATGAAATATTTATTGCATTTTTGTCTTTTGAAAACACTCTGTGAGGGATGGGAATGTGCGGGCGTCTTTGATTTCAGAGGTACTAGATTCAAATTAGACTCGAGAGCAGAAGTCCTGAAAGAAGCGATGTAGGGCTACACCCATATTATTTCTGAGCTTTGCATGGACACGCAGTTGCTTCCTGGTGTGAAGAGTCTTTGTGTGTGCAAATGACCCGCCTCTCAGAGGGCATTAGGGAGATTCTGTTTTTGTTTAGGAAAATAAGAAGCATCTGTATACAAATGTGAAACAGACAAAGAAAACAAGATGTTGAACTACAAACACCATTTAGAAAAGCACGGTGTGAATGTACCACTTGCTGAACTGGGTGATTTAACATTAGCTTTCTCGCTAGTTAAAGGGATAGTCTACCCAAAAATTCTGTCATAAAATATCATATACCCACTCTCATTCAGATATTCTGAAGAATGTTCAGAATAACGGATTGAGTTTCCGTTCCCATTGACTTTCATTGTGTTTTTGTCCGTACAGTGGAAATCAGTGGGAATCTAAACTGTTAAAGTTGCCAACATTCTTTAAAATATCTTCTTTTGTGTTCCACAGAAGAAAGAAAGATGGCATGAATTTTTGGGTGGACTGTCCCTTTAAAAAGGCACCCAGCTATAGTGGACCACTTTTTCACGTCCTCTCAATAAACCATGAAATCAAAACTGAAGTTTTGTGGCTTTTAGTTCACGTCTGTTAGCTTTGAAGTGAGTGTACTCCTAAATGGTGACAGTAAGTAAGGGAGAATGAACATCCAGCCGGTTATTATCGCAGAATAACGTTTGTACGAAACGAGAGAGCGAGTCCGCGATACCAGGATGACATAAACTAGATTTTAAATTGTGTACAATTATTTAATTTAATATTTTATTAGCTAAACAAACGCAAAGCTTTCACCAAGAAAAAACTGATTTAATATCTTTTTCCAGGAAAATGTTGATGAATTATCTTCACGGGGGGATCTTTTGCCCAGTAAAATGCTGTCTACTGCAACATCTGCAGCTGAGATTGGTGGAAGGTGCCCTGCTTTGTTCCTGACAGGCACCTTAAATCAGCCTGTCAGGCACAAAGCAGAGGCACTTTGCGTATATCGCAGACTAGCAAAGCAAAAATGGTTTGTCATGTGTCTTGAACTGAAGGTCGTTGGCTACATGAAATCAAAATTGACCCCATGTACTTTCCAAATTGGTTCTTGATCTTATTGTGAATGATTCATCTGTGCATGTTATTCCAAAGGAAAAATAGTAGTCTTCAAAATGTCTAAAATTCCTTTTGAGCTGCTGTCACCTAGCTTTACATTTCAACCCCTCTCCACCAAATCCTATTGATTTAGAGACCACTTTTCATGATCTAGTCAATTACTGATGGATAAAATCAACTCATATACCCTACTTTTTTTTTCTCTGAACATCCTGTTTCACTCAAAAATGTGTCCCAACACATTACAGACGTAAAATGGGTTGTATGCAGTCTGTCAACTGATGTAGTGATGGATATCGGCTTTAAAAAAATTGGCCTTTTGGTATGTCAACACGGGTAGCTGTAAGGTCTGTTCTGGGTTTTTGTTTCTGGTTTAAGTTTTCATGTCTTTTATTTTTATATTTTGCCTTGTTTCATGTTCCTGTCATGTGTTTTTTTCTACCCTGTCATGTGATCATGCCATGTGGTACGCTTGTCTGTGTGTCATGTTCTGATTGGTTGTCCTAGTCATGTGTCTTGTTTCCTCATTAGTTGGTTCTTGTCATGTGACCCTGATTGTTTACTATAAGTAGCCATCATGTTGCCTTTGTGCTTGGTCGTGTATGAATGTATTTATCCTGCTGTCGGTGAGTCTAGTCCGTTCAAGTCAAGTCTTTGTTTGTTTGGATTATGTTTGGATCATGTTTGGATCACTTTGTTTAAATACATCTGCACTTGGATTCATCACTACGCTCGCCTACAGTGGATTATCATTACAGTAGCAAAATCTGTTCGACATATTTTATGGGTTCTTTAAAAAAGGGAAAAACTAAAGTTGCTGCAATAGGAGGTTGTAAGAGAGATTATATGTTAGTTATTGAACCATGCAAGGACATCAGTAAAATCGACCTGTTTGTGAAATGGTTCTGAATTCTTAGAGTGAAATATTTCTGTTTAAAAGATAATCACAAGTTATTATTAACTTGGTTAAGATTATCCGATAGAACAGATCTTGGGCTGCATGCTTTTGGGTGAAAATCTAATCAATTTTTTTTAAATAAAAATTGTGATTTGAAGTGAAATTTTAAAAACTCGAAGTTTACTGGAAAGTAAAATAAAGTATTTAAGAAAAATAAATTATAATAATAAAAAGACACTGAAAACACCAGATGATTAGCTGCGCATCATTCAATTGTACTGCAGCCTTTATGACTGGATAAATCATAAACCCATATTGTGATTTCTGTTTTATTGATTATTCGTGCAGCCCTACATAGGTCTCTCATAACACACACGCGCATATAACCTCACGAATGAAGTCATCATTCCATTACCACTGTTAAAGCTGAATGGAAGCGATATTTTAAATATGCTTTATATGTGAGGTTTTTGTATTGATTTGGCAGCTTGTTTGTTTTAATAAGGCTGCTTGAAGGGTTGGAGAACCTGATGATAACTTAAATGATTTCCATGCTATAGAATATGGAGGTGCTCACTGCAGATATTAGTTTTGGTTGGTGCTCTGCCATGATAATGTCACGGGTCGCTACTGTGAGGAGCATGGAACGAGGAGACCAGGAGTACAAAACCAAGGACTTTATATTGCGGGGAATCACACATAGCACAAGGAATGGACATAAACTATTCCGGACTAAGAAACTCAGAACGGGACTCACTGTAAATACACAGACACCAATGGGACACACCTGGGAGCAAATTAACTAGTTAAACAAACACAGCTGGAACCAAATTCATACAACGAGAACAGGAAGGACCAAATAAGGAAAACAGGATCTAAACGGGAACATGCACGTGACAGATAAAGTTCACATTTGATGCTGTATGACTTTGTGTTCAACAAGATGGATGGTCACAAGCCATGCCATTCTGAACATTAATCTTGGTATGGGGGAAAAAAAACAGGCTTCTGAATTTATCAGGACTACAGCTGGTTGCTTTTCATTTAGCAGACACTTTTTATGCAAAACACTTTACAGTGCACTAATTGCAAGGACAATCCCTTTGGCGTTAGTGTAGTGTACTAAATGCTTTACTCTGGAGTCTAATAATTGTGGATCTCAGTAACTCAGTGCAGTTTGCGTGTTGTCTTTATGTGGGATCACACTTGGAGGTTTTGTTTTAACAGCCCAGATTTGTACCCACTGGTCTGTTGACACCCCAATTGTGCACAACAATAATGGTAACACCAATTCCACCCTGCTTCCGGCTATGTGTTTTCCTATTAAACTTTATTAGTTGGCATTGGCTGCAATGTTTCTAACCCTGAAGATCTGCAATATTTTTTAGAAGCCAATATCTTTTTTTTGTTGTTTTTTACATTTGAATCATTCAATCAAACAAACCGTATTTGTTTGTTTGGTTTGTTTTCAATGAAAACTAATTATTTTTGTTAAATGTGATTAAAAGATGTGCTTGTGATGTGTCTTTTAAAATAAATGACACTTTTTAAGAGTAGCTTAATTGTCCAAGTAGTTTTTAAAATTGCTGTATAAATGTATAACTCAGTATTCAAAGTGATTTGTATTGCTTGCTTGAACGCTTTAAAGTATTAACTTTGTCTTGTTTGTACTAAAAGATAATGTACAATACCGTTCAAAAGTCTGGGGTTTGTAAGATTTGTGTAACGTTTTTGAAAGAAGCTTCTTATGCTCACCAAGGCTGCATTTATTTAATCAAAATAATATTAATAATGAAATAATATTACAATTTAATATATTTTAAAATATAATTTAATCCTATGATGAAAAATCTGAATTTTCAGCAGCCATTACTCCAGTCTTCGGTCACATGATTATTTTATCATTCTAATTAAGGAGATTGTATTATTATGATTATTATTATCAACAATGAAAATAGTTGTGGTGCTTAATATTTTTGTGGAAAACATTTTTTAGGATTCTTTGATGAATAGAAAGTTCAAAAGAACAGCATTTATTTGAAATAGAAAGCTTTTGTAACATAAATGTCTTCATTGTCACTTTTGATAAATTTAATGTATTCCTTCTGGAAAAAAAAGTATAAATTTCTTTTTACAAAATCTTATCCCCAGACTTTCATATTTGTTATCATATATGCTCTTATTTTTTTGTGAATAAGCAGATACAGCTAGAACATGAGCTTTGTTATTACAGTTGGGTCATGGAAGGTCATGATGAGAAATGTATGAGTTCATATTGAAATCTCTGAACTGTGAACTACTTTGTGTTGTAGGTGGAAGCTAAATGGCAGTCTGCTCAACCCTAAACCCGGCTCCCATCACAGCCTCTCTGGAGGTAACCTTCGCATCAACCATCTAAATAAAGAACAGGACGCTGGGACGTACCAGTGCCTTGCTTCCAACTCCTTCGGGACTATTGTCAGCAGGGAGGCCAGCCTAACCTTTGCCTGTAAGTCACATTCTGATCTCTGATCAAACCACAGCAGGACAGATCAGGCCCAAACAAACAGGACATTGCAGACCTGACGGCACACACTGGTACGCTGGCCCTTGTTCTCCTCGCTGATAACATGGTCAAAATGGAAATGTTTTCCCTGAGGAGAGCCTGGTCGCTTTCTCACCCGCTCTCATTCTTGTTTCTCTCTCTCGCTCTCTGTATCTCACATACGCACAGGTTGTTCAGGGGCCAGATTCAGTCATGCAGTCATTTATATGGGTTGATAATGAGATCAAAAAATGAGATTCCGTAAAACACATTCAGGCCTTGTGCTGCTTGTTATGGCTGTTTTGAAAGCTATGGCTGCAGCTAATTAGTTTAAGCTCAACCCCACATGCCCCCCAAATAGCGTATAGCAAATTCTGCAGTATGAACTGTACACATTATATAAACTCTTTGTATGCACAGAAAACATGATGCTACATAATGTGCTGACTGCACTGTGTGAAGTAAACTATTTTATACAATTTTTGAATGTATTTGTTTTAATTAATTTTAATTAATATTTTTTTTAATCAGTAATAAATAATGAATAATAGTAATAATACATACTTTTACATTTGGTTTTCTCGACTGGATTGGATTGCCAAATGTTAAATAAGTTGATGAATGGAATTATAATGTTATACTAAATCTAAAACAATGGAAAACCCCTTAAGATAACATGTAAAAAGGAAAAAAACATATCTTAAGTGTGCAGAATAGCATAAGTGGACTTTGAACGATTAATTGCCGCTTTGAACGATTACGTAATTGTGGCAGCCATAATTGTAATTGCGATTAGAAATTATATTAATTGTGCAGCCCTAATCAGTCAGTTTGATTTGGTTATACATTGGCAAATTAATATACATCATTTTGACAATTTTCTACATTTAGAAATAGGCCTGGCCCTAAAAAAATTTCATAATTTTTTTCATATCAGTCAATATTGATAATAATAATCACAGTATGTCAAATATTTATTTATTTCCAATTTGAAGGCATATTTTTGCTACTGAGTGAAAGTTGCATGTTGCAAAGTTGCCAAGTTGCATTTGAATGATATAAGCTGTAATAAAAACTTGTTTTCGTGACACATTTTTTTCCCCCAAACATACATTAAAAAATGATATGTAATATAGTGCATATAATTATCAAAATGTTCATTTCTAGTTGGCAATCAGGTTATTGAACATTGAATGGTAACACTGAGGTAAATGTTACATTACATAAAATATTGTTTACAAGCTGTGTTATTGACATCTTTCCACATTTGAAACACTGATTGATCAATTATACTGATTGAAGTTATACTGTTTCTTTCAACAAACCTTCTGATGTTCATTCAGGTTTATTTTGTGCTATAGTTTAACTGGTAGTAAAGAGGAAGAGATGATTGGTTCACGTGGTACTTGAACTGAGACGCCACATTAAATAGCATCAAAACCACATTTATTGTTTTTGTAATTTTGTCTTTTTTGTTTTTGTAATTTTTTAAAAATATATATTTTTTCTGTCAAAATAACAGAATTTGCCCCTATTCAGTCCTGTTTAAAATTGAAAGTGTTTTGGTATGCAGAATTTCCCTCTAGCACGTCTCTAAAAGAGTACACTGATTGGCTGACCCGTTTTTGCATATGGCATTGATAGCAAATGACAATCAGGCCTTTCCAATTGAATTCAGATTCACCACGTTCCCAGCAAGGCCACTGGCTGAAGACGATGGCACTGCAGGGCAGGAACAGTCCAATTCTGTGGGGAGGAAGTCTGCTGTCATCGTAAGACGATTGGCTGACAGATCCATCAATCGCTGGTCTCTGACCTTACTAGGCTTCAGTTGTTGTCGTGTGGTGGGGGCACGCGTCTCTGACTGCTCCACATCCATCTTCTTTATTACTCTCTCCATAGCTTAATTAACTCCACCGCATGATGGAGTGGTGCAGGTTCAAGAGAATAATTTAAAGGGCAGCTGATGTTATTAGATGGGATATTTTCTAATTTGGTATTTAATGCGGGAGAATTTGTAGGCGACCACGTTGTGCATGATAATGCACGAAGGTAAAGACGAGAAATCACAGTTCCAACTTGAATTCGTCAAATGTTTTAATGCTGTAAAGTAGATTACAGCATTAAAACTGGAATTGGAGGTTTGTGGCTGTTGGTTTATATGTATAAGCTTTGAGGTCATTTATATGCGAGTGTTTGCCTAAAAACTGACCAAATTAACATAAACGGTTTTGAAATGTATGCTTTAAAAATTCATTAAAAATGTAAAGCCTCACAGGCATATCAATTTTTTTTTCTTTAAAAAAATGCTCTCTAAAAAAGCTAAATGTTGTACCTGATGTCTTTCATGGAAATATAAGTAATGAATAAATAATAAATATGAATAAAAAATATATAAATATTTATCATATAAAAGTTATGTATTTTAATATAAATAGTTATGTATTTTAATTTTGATGCTAAGTATTAAAATATACAGTATATAATTTGATGTAGTTTCAGAGTATTGATAGACTAACTCAGGTATGTCATTTGCTCTTAAAGGGGTCATATGATGCTAAAAAGAACTGTGTTATGAAATGTGTTAATGCGGTTTAAGGTTAAAAAAACACATTATTTTCCACATACTGTATATTATTGTTTCTCCTCTATGCCCCACCTTTCTGAAACGCATCAAATTTTACAAAGCTCATCGGTCTGAAAAGCAAGGTGTGCTCTGATTGGTCAGCTATCCAGTGCATTGTGATTGTCCGAATACCTCAAGCGTGTGACTGAAATGTTACGCCCCTTACCATACTGTGATTCCGTGTCCCGGCAAAAACATTAAAACCCATTATAAACGAGGCATTTGTTGCATCCAGTGGGGACATAATAACGGATTATAATGACTTATACTGTCTTTTTATGTGTTGCGTTGCATCGCGCCGCGTAAACATAAAACCGTGTCTGCATTTGTGATAACCTTTGTGATAACCTACACTGCTCAAAACTCGCGTTTGAATCGTCAGGAATATTTGGGTTGAACTGTTCTGGAACAGTGTTGTAAATACAACTTAACCACTGATTTCTAGTCGTGTCCTCTTTTGGAAGACCAAACAAAGTATTTTTGCTTTTGCCATGAAACACACAGCATCTCCACAACATGGCGGCGGCGGTGGCAGCAACCATAAAGTTACGCCTTCTTTCTTTGCGTGAAGATTTGGGCGGTGTTATGCAAATCTTCCCACACAGTGACGTAGATATGTGGGGGCATGTTTAAACGAGGCGTTTTAGGAGGGCGTGGATGAGTCTTAACTTTTATAAAGAATATCTCTTTGGGTTTGAGACTTTAGTCTTTGCAACTTTAGGGATCTTATCTATTCACGAACAGCTTGTAACTCTCCAAAGAGAAAGGAAAACTTGAAATCGCATCATATGACCCCTTTAACATTTCTCGGATTGTTGGAGGATTATGGTTATTTTAGTTTATGACCACAGAGTTGACAATTAAACATGTTTTTAAATACTTGGAAATCGCACTTCTGGTTTCTACATAAGTTAGATTATTCCTTAATATGAAGTTTAGTCTTCTTACTGGTTATGTTAATACATTGATGTTATCAATAAAATTAAAAAAAAACATTTCTATATGGACAAAATTAGTTTTACTTATGAAATCAGACTATTGCGTCTCTTTGGCTGTTTTTAATTCCTATTTAAATAAGAAAACAACAATAATAAAGCCATTTCATTGGATTTATTTATCTCTTTATAATTTTATACAATTTGCACAAGTGTGGTTTTTATTCTATGCAGACTTTTAGCAGCCTTCTGTCAGGACTAGCTTTAGAAATAATAGGTGGCTCGTGAAGTAGCTTGCGTCTCTTAGAATGTATTTGTCTCTAAACACCTCTCCCTTTTCTTTTCAAATAAATGACTGTTGAAAATCACTTAATGTGTGAAAATACATTTATGGTTACTTTGGTGTAACCTTGTATGGTGCCAAAAACCTGTATCAAAAATACAGGTTATAAAAGAGGCTCTCATTGGATGTAATAAAATGTTTTGGGGTTTTTTTTCTCTCTGAATAGGACTGGATGAATATAGGTAGATATTGAAAGGGTTGTCAGTAGATACATAGGAAATGAGAAAAAATGTCAGTGTCGATGCACCAATCCCTAAAGCAGTAATTGCATTCTGGGGAATTGCAGAATGTTTTTAATTAAAATGCCACTGATCGAGAAGGCTGTGTGCTGCGTCTTAAGCATATTTCACATATGTACCATCTTCTAATTTTCATATTTGGGTCTTGAAAAAGACATCTCTCTTAATGTGCAATAGCAATTAAAGTTCTTTTTGACTTTGTAAGAAAAATTCAACTGTGTATCTGCAGCGTTAACAACAGGTTGAGCATTGTGGTGACAGGTTGAAAGAATATTTTGCGGTTCAGCTGATGTTATTTGATGGGTCAGTGAATACTGAAGACATTACGAACTATATATAGTCAAGACACCAGGTCTAGTTGTCAGAAGGGCTGTATCTCTATAACAGTGAGGTTTGAAGTCTGATTGCATAAATGCTTGTTTTCTTTTGCAGTAGTTTTGACTGTCCAGTTTTGACCAAAATCGACTTAATTAGGATTGTTTTTGTGAATGTTATTCATTGTACTAGAAATCCAATAATTTTCTTTTGAAGAAAAAGTGAACTTCACTAAAACAGTGTCATACATTGAAGCAATGATGAACTACTGTGTATAATGAAGTCTAAACTATATTTATATTAACTATATAAATATTTTATATTGAGGCAAATTGACATTTTTAAATGTTGCAATATTATACAATTCAATAATTAGTTACCCATTTGGCTGAAACAGGTTTGCTATTTTGTGAGCTGCCTTTTTGCTGTTTTATTAATCGTTTCGCATTTCATAATTATTGTGAATTCATTAAATAGTCGATAATACATTGAAAAATCGTTTTCTT